AATCGAAGGGCAGAGGCTTTACTGTGACGCGCAAGCTTGATGGTAGAACGCTTTTCATTGGCTGCACCGCGACTGCGGACGAGGGAGCGCTGCTGTACGCGCGCAAGCTGGGAGCGGACGCGTCAGCAGCAGCGGCGGCAGCGGCGGCAGCGGCGGCAGCGGCGGCAGCGGCGGCAGCGGCGGCGGAGGCGGAGCAGGCAGCGGCGGCAGAGGGCTTGACACTGGTGCGCTCGTCGCGCTCCAGAAGCGGGTTCGAAGGCGTGTGCGCACACTCGAAAGGCAACGGCTTTCCGGTGAGCCGCAAGGTTGATGGGAGAAAGCAGCATATTGGCTGCACCGCGACGGCGGAGGAGGGTGCGCTGCATTACGCGCGCGAGCTGGGAGCGGAGGCGTCAGCAGCAGCGGCGGCAGCGGCGGCAGCGGCGGCAGCGGCGGCGGCCGAGTCTATGACGGCGGCGGAGGCGGAGCAGGCAGCGACGGCAGAGGGCTTGACACTGGTGCGCTCGTCGCGCTCCAGCACCGGGTTCGAAGGCGTGTACGCACACTCGAATGGCAACGGCTTTGCGGTGAGCCGCAAGGTTGATGGTAGAACGCAGCACATTGGCTGCACCGCGACGGCGGAGGAGGGAGCGCTGCTGTACGCGCGCAAGCTGGGAGCGGAGGCGTCAGCAGCAGCGGCGGCAGCGGCGGCAGCGGCGGCAGCGGCGGCGGCCGAGTCTATGACGGCGGCGGAGGCGGAGCAGGCAGCGACGGCAGAGGGCTTGACACTGGTGCGCTCGTCGCGCTCCAGAAGCGGGTTCGAAGGCGTGTGCGCACACTCGAAAGGCAACGGCTTTGCGGTGAGCCGCAAGGTTGATGGGAGAAAGCAGCATATTGGCTGCACCGCGACGGCGGAGGAGGGTGCGCTGCTTTACGCGCGCAAGCTGGGAACGGAGGCGTCCGCAGCAGCGGCGGCAGCGGCGGCGGCCGAGTCTATGACGGCGGCGGAGGCGGAGCAGGCAGCGACGGCAGAGGGTTTGACACTGGTGCGCTCGTCGCGCTCCAGCACCGGGTTCGAAGGCGTGTACGCAACGTCGAAGGGGAGAGGCTTTAAGGTGAAGCGCAGGGTTGATGGTAGAACGCAGTACATTGGCTGCACCGCGACGGCGGAGGAGGGAGCGCTGCTGTACGCGCGCAAGCTGGGAACAGAGGCGTCCGCAGCAGCGGCGGCAGGGGCGGCGGCCGAGCCTATGACGGCGGCGGAGGCGGAGCAGGCAGCGGCGGCAGAGGGCTTAACACTGGTGCGCTCGTCGCGCGCCAGCACCGGGTTCGAAGGCGTGTACGCAAACTCGAAACGCATCGGCTTTGCG